TGTGAACATTTAAAAGATAGTGAAACTCTAAATCAGTCTGGACAGCTTTTTACAGTAGAAACTGTATGTTGTATCTTAGTGACAGCTACTGATGGAAAGGCCAAGAAGTGAGGTGGGTTTGGAGGCAGACATAAGGAAGGGTGAAAGAAACTGTAATTTGGTCCATGTCCTGCAAAAGAAGCAGGTAGAGAAATGCAGAAGAAAGGGACATTGGACAGTCAGTATATTAGTATATCATAGGGAGAGAATAGAGAAGTGCTGGGCATTTGTTCTGGAACAAAGGGAAAGGGCTTATACAATTTCTGACTGAGGACCCTTTGGACTGCTTTCTGGAGTCCAGTTTCTCTGATTTCTGATTTATTTTTTATTTTTAATAATAATGAGCACCTAAATAGCATGTTTATGTAGCGGGATTGTTGCCCAAATGTCCAAAAAAGCAAATATAGAGAATATATTGTACTAGGTCTTGCCTGCCACCCTTTACTTAAAATAAACCAAACCTTCGTGAAAACACCCTAAAGGGTCAGGTAACCACAGCCTTTGGGAGGGCTTCTGAAGCTGTGAAGTACAGTGGGAATCGTGTGCTTCCCTCACATGGAGTGGAAGCAGAGGTGATAATGTGGAGATGTTGCAGTATTTGTGTTGGAACTTGCACAGTCCCTGTAGTTTTTGGCAAGAACATTATTCATTATCTTGAGTAAACTGCTGTTATAATTCAAGCAAACGTTACTTCAGAGATCTGTGTTGTTTTTTCACGTGGTTGAAGATGTGGTAGGACGTGTGTTAAGGATGTTCATTTTCTAAATTGAATTTATTATTCTTGTTAGGTCATCCTTGGCAAGTACACCTGGCTTTCCTATGAAGATGTATACATTAAAGCTGTTAATTTTGGAAATGGCCTAGCAGTACTGGGTCAGCAACCAAAGACTAACATTGCTATCTTCTGTGAGACAAGAGCTGAGTGGATGATTGCAGCCCAAGCCTGTTTTATGTGCAACTACCAGCGTAAGTAGGCCTCTGCCCTGGAATTTGTATGGCTTCTGTTCTCCCAACAGAGTCTGAAAATCAATTAAAATTTTCTTCATTCACTTTACAAGCTGAGAAAACTTTATATAAAATGACAAGTATTACTGCATGAGGCAGAGGCTGTGAAATTTGTGGTGTTCTGCCTTGAGCAGACCAACCTGTCTCTGCAGATGGTTTCAGTAAGTACAGTTTGCTCAATGAATTTCGGAGAGGTTTGTTTTCCTTCCATCTCAAATCGGCGCAGATTCCCAAGTTCCTCAAAACAAACAAATAAAAATCACACATAAATTCATTGACTCAGTTTCAGGAGTTGACGTCAAACCTTTATCTCTGCCTGTAAGGGTTTTGTTAACAGGATATTTCATCAGTTCTTCAGTTTTGATTTTTGGTTAGAGTTCATCATGTTGTCACCTTCTAAAAGTCAGAAGGAATCGATAAATCCCTATGACCTTAGTTTGGAGAGCTCTTTAAAAGTTGCTTAGTAACTCCTTTAGCAAACTGTAAGTCATTCCTTAACTCAAACCTTGGGCTGAGCTGATACATTTTTTTTTCCCCTAAATATATTTTGATATTTTTTTCTTCTCCCCACTTCTTGGCTTTCTTATAGTCCATCGCATATCATTTAATACATCCTAATTTAACTTGAGTGCTGATTTGAGATTATGCTCAAGGACAAGCTTGAGGGCTAGTTATTACTGCAGAAAACTTAAGACTGTGTTTAGTTTTGGTGAGTTATTTAAAGTCAGTCTCATTCACAGTCTCTGAATCATACACTGACTGGATCCTTAGCCCTGGCAATGATCCGAGACCTGGTTCTCTGACCTGGACAACACTTCTCAATTTCTCATGGAGTGACCATAAAAAGTGTCTTTTGGGCTCTGGCCCATACCATTTCAAAATCAGCTTACTTGCCTTGTTTGTCCCTTCTGAGGTGGGCATTTTTTTGCCCAGTGGAAAAGGACCTAGGTGTGTTGGTTGACAGCCAAATATAAGGCAGCATGTGCCCAGGTGGCCAAGAAGGCCACCAGCATCATGGCTTGGATCAGCACTGATGTGGCCAGCAGGAGGGCTCACCCCCTGGGTCTGGGCACTGGGGAAGCTGCCACTCAAATCCTGGGTTCAGTTTTGGGCCCCTCACTCCAAGAAGGACCTGGAGGGGCTGGAGCGTGGCCAGAGAGGGACAACAAAGCTGCTTGGGAAGGGTCTAGAGCCCATGTGTGGTGAGGAGAAGCTGAGGGGCCTGTGGGTGTTGAGCCTGGAGCAAAGGAAGCTCAGGGGAGACCTTCTGGCTCTGACAACTCCCTGACAGGAGGCTGGAGCCAGGTGGGGCTTGGGCTCTCCTCCCAAGGAACAAGCAATAGCATGAGAGGAGATGGCCTCGAGTTGCCCTAGGGGAGGTTTAGGTTGGATATTAGGAAAAATGTCTTCCCTGTAACAGGCTGCGTAGCATAAGTGTAGCAGGTAGGTCCAGGGGAGTGATCCTTCTCTTCCTTTTGGACACTGGTGAGACCACACTAGAGTTCTGTCTGGTGTGGGGCTTCCCAGTGGGGAAAAAAAGACATGAATGTACTGGAGCAAGTCCAGTGGAAGGCTGCCAAGATGCTGAAGGGGTTGGAGAACGTGATGTATGAGGAGAGGCTGATAGAGCAGGGTCTGTTCAGCATTAAGATGAGTGAGCTGAGATACTGTTGCTGTTTAGAACTGTCTGATGTGAACGTGCAGAAGGGATGAAGCCAGACTCTGTTCAAAGTTGTATTTTGGTAAGACTGGAGGCAACAGGCACAAGTGGAAACACAGGAAAATTTGATTATATATTAGGACAGACTTCTTCGTTGTGAGGATGGTCAAATACCAGAACAGGAGCCTAGAATGGTTGTGAAATCTCCATCCTTGGAGGTGGTTAACACTGGAGTGGCCATGGCCCTGAGCACTCTGATGCCATGAGCTGTTTTGTGCACGTAACCTTCCCAGGTTCCTTTCAGCCTAAATTCAAGGATATTTTTGGTGCTTTCTTCAGTGAGTGACTGCTTCTGCCTTGCCTACCAGCACAGAGATCTGCACAGGTTCTCAGACAAGATGTCTGCATTGCTTTTAAGCTACGTATCTCATAACCCACCACATCAGGTCTTGTTCATTGCTTTGGGGATCTGCTAGATTCCTAGTGACTATCCTGGGAATAAAATGCAAAGGCTTGTATCAGTTCTTTGTAATTTGGAAGCAAAGTACATTTACAAAATCCTAGGAGGATTTTGCAATTCGTGGAGAAAAAATCAGAAGTAGTGGTTTCATGCTCAGTTTGCTGGATGCCTTGTAAAACTCAGATGATGCTGAAGAAGTGTGGCAAGACTGCTCCAGGAGTTATTTAGCCTAAATAACTCCTGTTAGCATTTTTCAGTTTACGAGTTTCACAGTGTGGTAGGGTTGCCACATTCTTTTGGGAATGTGAAATGAATCTCATGGTATGTGCCCAGAACTGATGTCAGGAGAGCAGGTTCATCTGCTTCATGCGTGGTGGTGGAGAGAATGCCTTTTGTACTATAGAACTGAAGTGGGGAAGTCCTTTTTATGTTAGGGATTACTCCCACAAACAAGTAGCTTTATGATTAGAAATACTTGCTCAATTGTAAATGTTACCTTATTTGAAGTCTTGTACTTGGAGGAGGTAGAGTAGAATTGCTAGTGCAAAAAAGGAAACAAAGAGTACTGATGTGAAAACAGATTTCCTTCCAAAGTATCTCCTCATCAGTGTCAAGAGCTCTCCACCAATGTGGGCAGATAAACACCTGAGTGTGTAACCAGGTCCTGAAATGAGTAAGAAAGGTTGTGTTTCATCTTTCAGTCTGGCCTTCCTGAAGCTTGAGGGAAAGTGGTTTTGTCAGGATTTATTTGGTTGAAAGCCCTTAAGGGTCTCTTTTGCTTTTTATTTTTAATGTACAATGGCTGCCAAAATACACAGTTTAACATTTTAGTTACGTTAAAATAAGTGGCAGAAATTCCCCTTGTTTCTTTAGGACACGGCTTTGTTCTTCTATATTAGCTGGCAAATTTGGTGGTGTGGAGGTTTTTCTGTTAGTCAGGGTTCTGGAGTGGGATTCCTGGCAGAAGTTCAGATCTCGGAGCCTCACTTGTACTATTGCATGTGTGAAGATGAAGACAAAAGATAATCCCTTCTCGGTGTGTTTTCAAGAGAAGCAAAGAGAGAAGAAAAAACTGCCTGAACTTTCAGATTTGCCCGGGAAAGTTAGTTGTAGGTGCCAGTGTGGAGAAGTGAGGGTCTCACAGGTTTCACTCCGTGCAGAAACGGCAGGTTTGGGGACACTCCCCCTCGGCTCGGGCGGCAGGGTGCCCCGGGGGCGCTGGCTGGGTTCCCGCTGGGTGTTCCTGCGGCAGGGGTCGGTGCTGCAGGGAGGGATGGATGGCACGTGGGGACGGGGAGGGGACTCGCCTGCCTGCAGCTCCCACCAAGGGAAGGAAACCCCTGACCCTGTGGGACTGCAGGGAACATTGTGTGGGTACAGCCTGAACATACAACGGGCTGTTGTGGTTTGATAGTTACATTGTGTAGGTATTCAGCTGAATCCAGGCTAAAATACACAAGAAATTCAGATACCTAATGAGACAAAACTTCCAGCACTGATTCTGCAATTATTAATGATTCCATTGACTGACCTTATGGGATTTTGAGATGCCCCTGTTCAGGATTTTGCTTGAAAAACAGGAAATATTTTCTTTATACCTCTCTTGCTTTTTGAGCTGCCTTTTTCTTCCTCAGTCTCTTCCTGTCTCTTCTCCTGCAGTCCCCATAAAAACAGCAGGAAATTAAATATGATCTAGTGATTGTTAATATGAAATAATTGTGGTTTAACACTCTAGAAGGCTAATGAGCAATCCTTAAATACAGGAAATATTTTTTCTAATAGTCAATTTCCTAAATATTATTTTTTCCTCAATGTCTAACGGCAGTGATGATTAAACCTTTATTATGTTGTTTTAAATAGGGAGAATATGATAGTCACAGATTTATTACTGTGTGTGATAATTAATCTGCTGATATGTATTACAACTTTTTTCCTTGCTATTTTGTATCCTCATTATATCAGTTCAATGTCTAACGACAGTGATGATTAAACCTTTATTATGTTGCTTTAAATAGGGAGAATATGATAGTCACAGATTTATTACTGTGTGTGATAATTAATCTGCTGATATGTATTACAACATATAACAATTTATTACTGGCCTTTCACAATTGACTGCTAACAGTATGTGAATTCTGAAAAGAGAAGTCACATAAATGAAAGCCATTTCCTCCTCTGTACCAGAGGACTGATAAACAGAGTATGAAAATGAGGATGGATGTCTGCTTTTAAAATGGTAAAAGCCACAAAGGTACAAGAGTAGATCTGGAAGATAATTCCATGGGGTAATGGGGTTTTGGTACTTCGAGACCTTGAGAAATAGTAGCAGTCACACACACAAAAAAAGGTTTTTATTCCTCCTGGGAGTAACTGAAAATTATGCTGTATTTAAATAATGTAGTATGTATTTTTTTAAAGCATAAAACTGTAGGACCTTTTTATCAGTTGACAAGTAGTTACTGTTTTGCCTGATTTAAAATAGGTTCATCTCAGCTCTTCTTTGTAAACTATAATTGAAAGTGTAACAGAGGTATTCACCATTGTTTCCCTCCTCATTTTCCATTTCAGTTGTTACTCTGTATGCTACTCTGGGAGGCCCAGCAATAGTACACGGGCTAAATGAAACAGAGGTGACCACCATCATCACCAGTAAAGAACTGATGCAAACAAAATTGAAGGTGAGAAAACTGTTCCTTGTCTATCTCTTTCCAGTGTATCTGCTAGTTGTCAAAAGGCCTGGTGCTGTTGTATGGAACAATGATTTATTGCCTTTCTCTAGGACAGACACTTCTTTTAGAATAAGATTTATGTATCTACCTTCATGAACAGAAAAAAACCCCTATAGTTAGCCTTCAGTGGGATTGAGGCTCCTTCATGACTCTGGAGAATGGGATGAGTAATTTGCACTGTTGAAGAGCTGCAGTGCTGCCTGGAACAACACCTTTACAAGAAGCTGCTGTCATTTCTGGGTGAATTTACTACCTGGAAATTGAACAGCTGAAGCAAATGGGAAGAACAGAAAAATGTCTAAGGTGTATATCTCATTGAAGATGTCCCTGCCCATAGCAGAGGGGTTGGAACTAGATGAACTTCAAGGTCTGTTCCAACCCAAACCATTCTGTGATCTGTATGAATACCTAAATGTGATCATCCTCCTGCTGTACTGCTGGATGATTTCCCAGCAGCAAATGGCTCCTAAATGTAAAGATGGGTGCTGGGAGAGTTAGAGCTGTTTTGCAGTGCAGGGGGAAGCTTTTTAAACAGGAGAAGAGTCAGAAAACCTTTCTGGACTTACTGATGCAGGGTGAACACACAAGTGGAACAACAAGTCTGCATGAGTTTCATCATCATCTGTTTTGGAGGAGCTAGGTTGTTCATGTAAGGGAATTTTAATGAAAATCTGTGTGCTATTGCTGGATTTTGAGTTAAAATTTCCATGCCTTTTTTTTTTAAGTTACTAGAAAGACAGTATATATGCACATTTATTTCAGCTTGCAGTAAGAGAATTAATTTCTGCTAGAGATGATAATCATCTCTTCTTCCATTAGAGCACTGATAAATGTTTTAGAACCCACATTTCGCCCAAAATGCTTAACTAGAGCTTAATATTCTGTATTTTTGCTAGCTGTTGCTGGTTTTAAGTATCATAATAATGAGGGAGCAACAGAAGAATTATTATGAGAATTACTGTGTATCAAGTTTCAGCATTCTGTGAGACTAGAAAGTCCATTATCTCTACAAATCATTTCAGTCTCATTTTGAGGCCTTTCCTTGGAGTAAGACCCGGCTCAGTAAATGGCTGGAAAAGTCTTTGGACTTTTAAGAGCAAAGTTTGATCAGTCCTGCAAATCTAAATGTGGGAGCTTTCAATCTTTGCAGCTGTTTGAGCTAGACAGATTTATCCACTGATATTTTAAATGCCCAGGTATTTCATGTCAATGCTTTTTTTAATGTATACAGTAGATGGGGGTGGGGGTTGGTTTGTTTTTTTCCTCCTTGTTGGTGCAAAGCTGACATTTGACCTCTGGACACGTGTTCATTTCCACAGGAGATAGTTTCCCAGGTTCCCCTCCTGCGACACATCATCACGGTGGATGGGAAACCCACCACGTGGTCCGAGTTTCCCAAGGGTGTCATTGTCCACACCATGGCTTCTGTGCAAGCCATGGGGGCCAAGGCAGATCCTGGTAGGTTGTCTTTTCTTTCTGTTGGCATCAACTCATTGGTTGGTCCTGCTTTGTTGAGTAAACCTGGGGAAACTGCACAGCTCAAACTAAGGCAGGGGTTAACCTTTTGTTATCTCCTTGGTTCTTTAAATAAAACTTGTGGGGTCTTTGGTTTGGCAGTGATAGGATTTTGGTGTGGGGGTTTTTTGTTTTGTTCTATTTTTCAACAGAGTAAAATGCTTTTACTGAAGCCTCTCTTCCCCATGACCAAGTGTCACATGTTGAAGAATAATTTTTTGGATATCATTGTGGCCAGGATAGGAACTTAGAAAGCATTCTTACAATCAGGCATACTAAAACCAGGTTATTCAGAGCACACAGAGAAAATTATTGTGCATTTTATAGCAAGACATCAGTAATTGGCTACCATTAAGTTTTGTTAAATTTACAAATAGCAGTTCTTCCTCTGAATAAACATAATTATTGTTTTGCTTTCTTGCTTTCAGTGCGAGTACTTAAAAATGGCTTCAATCCTATTAAAGCTATTGAACTGCCTTTAAATATTTATAGAAATTGGACCCTGTGTTGGCTCAGCAGGGCCTTGCTGCGGGTATGGGAGGGCAGGAGAAAGTATCTTTGCCAACGGGGTCTGACCTTGCAGCAGTGTGGAACCAGTGCCACCTACCTTCCAAGGGATGTGCAGCTCAGTGGCATTTTGGAGAAGCCAAATCTCTGCCCATTCTTCTCTCCTCTGTAGGAATAAGGGGAAGAGAATAGAAAAGTGTCATTGTGGTAGGGAGGGATAATAATAGTTGCTCAGCTAAGACGAAGGGGTTCCTACTCTTTGCAAAGGCACTTAAGTTCGACCATTTTTTTTTTTTTTGTGCTAGGGGAGTTTTAGGTTGGAAATGAGGAAAAATTTCTTCCCTGAAAGAGTTATCAAGGCCTGTCCCAGGCTGCCCAGGGCAGTGGTGGAGTCCCTATCCCAGGAGGGGTTTCAAAGACGAGATGTGATGCTGAGGGACGCGGTTTAGTGCTCGGATAACGGTTGGACTTGATGATCTTGCAAGTCTCTTCCAACCAAACCCATTCTATCATCTATGAAAGCAAAATGTAGTTGCAATAGTCATTAGTGTTGTATAGGAATGACTGCTGACACATGTTGGCCTGACAGGTGTCCCACTCTGATGTGCTCTCCACACATTCTGTGTTTGCTTTTCTCAACACAAATTACAGGAAACAAACCGCAGGCCAGGCCTGTGCCCTCGGATATAGCTGTGATCATGTACACGAGTGGATCCACAGGAGTTCCCAAAGGAGTGATGATCTCCCATTGCAACATAATTGCTGGGATAACTGGAATGGCCGAGAGGATTCCAAATCTGGGGTAGGTTCCAACAGCTACTTCACCCACAAATAAAGAAATCACATCGCTGCATGTGATTTTAGATTAATTACTGTGTAAAATATTCACTGTTCTGTATTGCTTTGGCTGAGACATCATCCTGGGCACTGATGTCTGAGCATCCTCCAGTGCTGCATTAAATGACATGACTGCTTTGTGTGCTGTTTGTTCTCTTGTCTCCTATATGTGGGCAGGGCCAGGACCCAAGAGCCGGTGTGGCCACCCTGCACTGGAGGGTTTGAAACCTTCCCTAAGTAGTACCTCCTTTGCTTAGTGTTACCTTCTGTGGTTTCTGTTTGGTGCAGTTTTTAATCTTGTCCAGATTGCCTTTGCAACCTGAACACATGGTTTATTGTCTGGGGATGAGTAGACATCACACTTACTTCATGCCTTAATCCTACAGTATGTAGTACACAAGTTCTGAAACAAAACCTGTTATTATTTGAAATAATGCATCAAGCTCAAAGGCATTTTACACTTTCTCTGGTTCTGCTGTGAGCTCTGTGTAAATTTAGCTCAGTGACTCATCAGAGGACTGTAGTGGCACATCACAAACCTGTCTTTTCAAAATTCTTCACAGGGAAAAAGACATCTACATTGGCTATTTGCCTCTTGCCCATGTTCTGGAGCTCAGTGCTGAACTTGTGTGTCTGTCTCATGGGTGCCCCATCGGTTACTCTTCACCTCAGACATTAGCTGACCAGGTAAGTCGTTGTAGATGTTAGCCCTAATGGCAGAAAATAATCATAATAAAAATAATTCCTCATACTGGACCTTTGTAATATTTCTTTTAAAATACTACAACAAATGGTTTCTACAGTTCATGAAACGGGGTATTGCTGGCTATGACTGGCACTTTAGACTAGTTTTACTTGTTAAAATATAATTTAAATAAATGGGATCGTTTGAAAGATGTGCTATGTCACTTTGTTTCTCATGCAGAAAATCTGGAATGTGTCTGCTAGTAAACTTGTTCTTTGTTTTAGTCCTCTAAAATAAAGAAAGGAAGCAAAGGTGATGTTACTACACTTAAGCCAACCCTAATGGCAGCTGTCCCAGTAAGTAACTGAAGGATAAATAATTTCTTATATAATTTTGAAAATACAATTAATAATTCAAATCTTAACAGAATTAATGCAATGATCATTTATCATAGAATCACAGACTGGTTTGGGTGGGAAGGGACCTTCGGGGTCATCTTGTCCAACCCCCTACAGGGAGCAGGGTCATCTGCAACTAGAGCAGGTTGCTCAGACCCCCATCTACCCTCACCTGGAATGGTTCCAGGGATGGGGCATCAACCACCTCTGTGGGCAACCTGGGCCAGGGTATCACCACTCTTACTGTCAAAAGTTTGTTCCTTTATATCTAGTGTAAATCTTCCCTCTTACGTTTAAAAGCATTGCCCCTTGCCCTGTTGCAGCAGATCCTGCTAAAAAGCTTGACCCCATGTTTCTGATAGCCCCCTTGAAATACTGAAAGACCACAATAGGGTCTCTCTTTTATTTAAATGAGAGGTAGAACCTTTGATGTTAAGGTAGCTTAAAATAATTTTCCTTGTATTCATTTCAGCACTAGGGAGAAGCGTTCATCATCTGAATGTCAACATTTTTCAGAGTTTAAATAGCTGTGGGTACTAGATTGCCTTTTTAATGAATCATCTGTAGTTGATCAGAGTAAAGGAATGGAGTGAAGATATTTGCAGGCAGCTCGGGGTTAACTAGTGCTCCTGCTCAGATGTTTGCTTTCCTCAGCTCTGGGAACATCTTGCAGTGGAAGAGGAAGCACCCTGGGAGTGGGCTGTCAGCTAAAACATACTAGCATTTCTAGATGGTTTCCTTTTTGTTGCACTGAATTTAGGATTTCTGTTTCTTTAATCTTTTTTTCTGACTAGGAAATCATGGATCGGATCTACAAAAATGTCATGAACAAAGTGAATGAAATGACCTCTTTCCAGAGGAATCTATTTATATTGGCCTACAACTACAAAATGGAACAAATTTCCAAAGGTTACACAACCCCGCTCTGTGATAGGTAATTGTCCTTTTATTTCTAATGGCACCCAAAAAATGCTTCTCAAAATCTTAGCATGTGAGCAGTATCTGATTTTATTTTTTTTTTGGTGCTTTTCTTCATTTTAATGTTGACACTTTGAACATAACATCTGTAATTAAGTAATAACATCTGTAATTAAGTGTAAATCGAAGCAACAACTTGGTAGCTTGTGTGATGACTTCAAATATTTACTGATAAAACTTAAGTGAGTGTTATTTGAGGTTGATTGGAGATTTATATCCATTGTATTATTTTTATCTGGACTTGAAGAATGGATTTATGCAATTCTTGGATAAGATGGGATCCTATAGATAGATCCTGTCTATCCTATAGATAACTGTAGACTTCACATTTTCACAGAAGTGAATCACAGAATAGCTCCATTTGGAAGGAAGCCACCAGGTTCGTCAAGTCCAACTCCAAGATTTTGTAAGAATAAAGGATAGCATAACTACAAAATTTATACAGCTTGTTTAAATAATTTTTGAGGAGAAAGGCACAGGACTTTACTGCCTTACTAAATCTACGTTCTCAAAACATCTAACCCACCTTCAAATCAGAATGTGGGATGAAGGTTAGAAATCTGTTCTTGAAAACTTAAACGTGCTGCTTCAAAGTTTCCCTCGACTTTGAAGATGGTGGAAACCTTTTGTTCAGATTGCAGAAAGGAGGTTCTCTCTCATTCTGTGTTGAAGCAACCACGATGTCTCCTCTTACCCTTGTCTGCAGCCTCATCTTCCGGAAGGTGCGGCTGCTGCTGGGGGGCAAGATCCGCGTGCTGCTCTGCGGGGGGGCCCCGCTCTCCGCCGCCACCCAGCGCTTCATGAACATCTGCTTCTGCTGCCCCGTGGGGCAGGGCTACGGCCTCACCGAGTCCGCCGGCGCCGGCACCATCACCGAAGGTTGGTGGCCCTGCGTCCCTGCCGGCCGCCTCCTCTGGGACACCCCGCTCCTGCAGAGTCCTAGGATCCTTCAGGGTGGAAGAGACCTTTGAGGCCATCAAGTCCAACCGTCAAGCCAACACTACTAAGTCCTCTGCTAAAACAGATCAGAATCTGTCAGGGTTGGAAGGGACCACAAGGGTCACCCAGTTCCAACCCCTCTGCCATGAGCAGGGACACCTCCCACTAGATCAGGCTGCCCAGAGCATCATCCAGCCTGGCCTTAAAGACCCCCAGGGCTGGGGCCTCAACCACCTCCCTGGGCAACCCATTCCAGGGTCTCACCACTCTCATGGTGAAGAACTTCTTCCTCACATCCAGCCTGAATCTGCCCACTTCCAGCTTTGCCCCATTCCCCCTAGTCCTGTCACTACCCAATAGCCTAAAAAGTCCCTCCCCAGCTTTCCTGTAGGCCCCCCTAAGATACTGGAAGGCCACAATAAGGTCACCTCGGAGCCTTCTCTTCTCCAGACTGAACAGCCCCAACTCTCTCAGTCTGTCCTCATAGGAGAGCTGCTCCAGCCCTCAGATCATTCTTGTGGCTCTTCTCTGGGTGCATGCTGCCCAGTGTAATGGGGCAATCCTGGGAATTGATTGGAATCCTGAACGTAGGAGACAGCAGCAGCACTGATATTGACACGTTGTGCTAAAGCTGGTGACCTGCATGTGAAATGAATGTGCTTGTGGTAGAAAAGCCTGTAACAGTGTGAATGGGGTTTGGCATTAGTGCAGGTACCCCGTTGAACTGAATAAGTGATTTCAGTTTTGGTGAGTGTATTAAAACGTTAGGAAAAGGAAGAATGCAAAAGCTTGCACCAGATTTTAACTTCATATAGCAGAAAGTTTCAGTCCTAACATTTCACTTATATTCTGTGGTGGCAGAAACAGCTGCTATTTTTTGGCACCGGTGTGATATGGGGTTTTGGCATTAGTGCAGGCACCCCGTTGAACTGAACAAATTATTTCAATTTTGGTGAGTATATTGAAACGTTAGGAAAAGAGAATGCAAAAGCTTGCACCAGATTTTAACTTCATATAGCAGAAAGTTTCAGTCCTAACATTTCACTTATATTCTGTGGTGGCAGAAACAGCTGCTATTTTTTGGCACCGGTGTGATCTACCCTGGAATCACACAGGGAATAGCTCAGGCTCACTGCTAGATTATGCTGGATTGTAGGACATTTATTATGTTCCTTGGTGATCCACAGGCTCCCATGATGTGGTTTTTATTCCAAGAGGCCTCTGGAAATAGTTTCTTCAGTAGCTTGATTAAAAAAACAAATAGTGGAACTGTGATAGAAATGGTGTAGTCTCCAGTGATGCTCTCCTGGGAAGCTGCACAGATGCAGAAGTATTTGGGACTGAGACTTAAGGAGAGAAAATCAAAATACAGAAGCCCTAAATCATTCTGATATAGTGCCACTATTTTTTTTTTTTGCAGTTCTTCCTGAATGAATGAATTCAGGTTCAGAAATAAATAGCAGTTAATTTTCACCAAATAAGATGCATGACAAGACAGTTGGTGGTTTGTTTTGTTGTGTTTGTTTTTTGTTTTTTGTTTTTTTTCCTTTCCTAATCTCTAAATCTTTTTCTAATTTCTAAAATAATGCTGTTTTTTTAAATTCCAGTTTGGGATTACACTACAGGGAGAGTGGGAGCACCTTTGGTCTGTTGTGAAATCAAGTTAATGAACTGGGAAGAAGGTGAGACTATCTGTGTGATTAAATGATAGTGTGTTTTTAAGAACTTCATGTAGCTGTTTTCCCATTGGGTTTTGCTCACTAATAGTAATTAGGAGACTATTTTTTGGCTCTTTAAATTTTAAGTGCTACTTATAACTACAAAAGTTTGATAATGGGGGAGAAGAAAGGGAAAATAAATCACTTGATGGCTTTTAGACTTAAAAATACCTGGGTAGAAGCTGTCAATGCAAGTGGCATTTTGAGTAGGTTGGATTATTACTCTCTGTGGCTATATTATTTCTTCTATTCCAATCTATATTTCTGTATTATAATTCACGTTTTATTCCAGTCTAATTTCAAACTATAGTTGTATATGCATATTGTGTAAAAGTTTTGTGTTGTAGCTCTTTCTGATTTAGATCAGTATTCTTGCAGGACAGGGTGCAGGGCTTGTAGGTGTGTCTTAGAGGTGCTGGATTCTGTAGACTTCAGCTGAGGTTCATGTGTGATACCTTCTGTTGCTATAAAGAAATTATTTTAAAGTAGTCATATTATTTTCATCATCATTTTAAAATGCTGAAAAGAATTAGAACCACTTCTACTCTTTCTGAACTGTTTAGGTAGGCGAGTGGTAGTTTTGGCTAAGGACTTAGTGTTTAATTCTATATTTCAATAGAATTTCTTGCTTTAGAATGTATTTTAATTCATGTTAACTTAATAAACCTGATACTTTTAGGTGGCTATTACAACACTGATAAACCGTATCCCAGAGGTGAGATTCTTATTGGAGGGCAGAATGTGACTGTGGGCTACTACAAAAACGAAGTACGAACCAAAAAAGATTTCAGTGTTGATGAGAATGGGCAGAGGTGGCTCCACACTGGAGACATTGGAGAGTTTCATCAAGATGGTTGTCTAAAAATTATTGGTGAGTTAATAAATTCAGGTGAACATGTATATGTACATTTTTCAGGGCTGCTAAATACACAATTAACAAAAAAGCCACCCTTCATATCTTGGCATGCAGGCTAAAGACCTACCATGTATCCCAGGGAAATTCTGTTATGTTCATGTAAACTTTGATTGTGTCTCTTAAAAGCTGAGTTTTAAAATAATTTGCTTCTACTCCCTTTTAGAACAGTCTTAACATTGACTCCATTCTGTTAGTGAGACTGGGTAGTAATTAGAGAGTTAAATACAGGCTAACTGAGCTAGAGAATCTGCCTTAGATTTTATAATTTTCTAAGTGTGGTGTTTGATTTAGTGAAAGAGCTCTTTTGGTAATAGGTGCTCAGGTATTAAATAAGCTTTTTGTTAATCTTGCCATTCTTTGTAATGAGAATATCCCTTTATCAAAAAGGAACTAAGGGGAAAATATAATTCTTTGACACGTGCAGGCACAAAAATAAGTGCCCTATAAACTGCCAAGTGTCTCTCTTGAAGGCAGTGGGTGATTCAGGGTCCTCTTCAATCCTGAAAACTAAGATTATTTGGTTTATTATGTGAGAAAAATCTTAGATCCCATTGGAGCTGGTTAAACAGGTTGGATAGCTACAAACCCACCTTGCCTGGTCACACAATGCAGCGTGAAGGTGTATAGCAAAGGAGAGGTTACTGCTGGGTGGGTAAGGTCACCTCTGCCTTCCTAGGGCCACAGACAATAAGCAACTTGGGCTTCATTTTTGGTTCCTATAATTGTGTTTCCAATAACAGATGGACAGTTGCTCTTCCAATATGGATTTAGCCTGGGAATGAGTAACAAATGTCACCAAATGCTGCGTTTCCTGCCTTAAGCATCTGGACTAGGAGCACAAAATGTTTGCTTCTAGTCAAACGCTGGCATTTTGCATCATCCTGGTTGTCTTCCAGTCACACAGCAGTGCAGTCACATTTCTTCTAAAGGCAGAAAATGCACAGGATTGAAATGTCTCTTGTGTTGAAGTGAGGGGCAGATTGCTAAAATGCAAAGTGTGGAAACCTGATATTAAATGTTTCTGGTACGTTCACCCAACAGGAGTCAGATCACCTGTGGGCATTTATACACACACTTCAGAGAGGTGTGAGTTCAATGTCTGAAAGTTTTGTGTTCTGTAATTAACATTTAATTCCTTTTTTCCTCAACAGATCGTAAAAAAGATCTTGTAAAACTCCAGGCAGGAGAATATGTTTCTCTTGGCAAAGTAGAAGCAGCTCTGAAGAATCTTCCCCTGGTAGATAATATTTGTGTGTATGCAAGCAGGTAAGAGGCAGCTGACACTTGGTTATTGCTGTATTCTTTATCTCTCCTACTGAAGTAATAAGCAAATTTTTTTTGCCACTCTTGTGTGGAATTTTTTAAACCAATTGGAAAGTTATTTCACTTCCAATATAACAGAACACCTTCACCAAAACTGAAGTGTGTGGGTTTAGTTTTCCTTTCCTATTTTTATTCATCATTTGTTGGGAAATGCTAGGAATGAGTCTCTTTCATTCCCTTTTCCCCAATCTGAGAAGCAGCTAAGCTCTGCCTGCACTCCTAACAGACATTGCTTGAGCCCTTCAGAGGTCAGTACCTGTGGAAGCCATAGGACACCTTGTTCCTGGCTGTATTCAGCTGTAATCTGTGCTTCAGAGCAAGTACTGCTGTACTTGAGGGAAGGGTGGGGGGGAAAAAACCACCAACAGTTTGGAAGCTGGCTTGGACATTAAAAATACTTCCCTTCAACCCTTGCAGTACATGAGGAGAAGCCTTGAAGCTTGAGAGAAAGCACTGTAAATACTATGCAAACACACAATTAAAAAAAGTAGTAATCAAATGCCCTTTTAATTTCCTTTCTGCATGTACATGATGCATGAGGCATCTAAGGACTCAAAACACATCCCCAGTTTCTTCTTTTAGAATTTCTTACCTGTGCCTAATACAGACTTACATGTATAAATATACTTCAGGTGGTCTTGGTTTCCTGTTCTATTTTGATATTTGGAAAGTAATTTTGTATCTTCTGATTGATCAGACATACTCTGATATTTAATATGGCCAAAAAAAGCCCCACTTGGTAATCTAAAGAGGCTAGGCCAAGCATACCAGAGAATTGCTCAGTGGTAATGACCAGAAAATTACCTTTTGGCTTCTCCACCTGGTTCTCTGTGTTATTTTTTTTTTGGTGTTAGGTAATGGTAGTCATCCTGTAACTTCAGTTTTGGCAGTTCTGGGTCACACACATTGGACATGGTGCTGCTGAGAAGAATTCTGCTATATTAAGCTTTATTTGTGCCTTTGGCCTGTTGTGCAAGTTGCCTCGTTGCTTGCTTGGACTGCTTGAGACAGTGTCTGTTCTGAACAACCTCTGGAGAAAGAGGTTCTGCAAATGGTGATTTGTACTCTTCTAGGATTGAAGTTCTCTACTGGAATCAAATTTTATGTTGATTCTGCCAGGTCAACCTAACTGGAGGCTAAGATACACTTGTCAGGCAGGCACTTGACTCTGATGCTATGTGTCTTCCTTAAAAATAGGAAGTGCTGTAAGCACTTTTTAAAGGTAATTTACAAACAGAACCCAAGTACAGTCCAGATTGGCTTTGCTGCTGTCCTTCTTAATTTCAGTTATGTAATTTGGCATGAGTAGCTGTATAATACAGGTTCTCTGAATGATTGTCCATATGCACATCTCACTGTGGGTATATACTCACCCCAGCAACGTGAGCTTGGAGACTTTCTGTTAGCAGTGCCTGTGACCTCTTAGATCCTGTCTCTCCTTATGCTTTGCCCGGGTGATCTCACAGACAAGAGGAGTCCTTCATTTGGAGCTTTTCTGTCTCCCATGTGCAAAAGGACAGACTTCCTCCAATGGGTAAAATCTGTGATTTGACCTTAGACCTTGGGGTGCAAACGTGGTAGTAGGGAATCAAAAGTGTTTTCAGGGTATCCCTGCTTGAAAAGCTATGTTAATTGACCACTTCAGACAAAACACTTGGTGAGATAAGGAGTAAAAAGCTTGCAGAAAGGAATCATGGTTAGAACTCCTTCAGAGGAGATATCTACTGCTTTATCAGCACTTCACCCATCCGAGCCGTCTTCAGTGGGGCTTAGGCATCACGTCAAGAAAACGAGTAGTTTGGTTACCTGAGGAGTGAACAAACATGGCAAAAACCCCAAGGGAGTTCTCAGTAGGAAGCTCAAGGAGAGCTGTGAAGGACCAGACTTAACAGAAATGGTGAGATCAACTTGTAGTGCCACAGTGTATGGCTCTTACCGTAGGTCTGAGGACCATACTTGGGTGGGATCTTAATGATGGCAGGGGACTGAGAAAGCCTAGTGTGGGAGAGACGTTTTGGCAAAACCTCTTAGCACAGAGATTACTAAGGTGGTCCTGAGGACCAAAATCTGAATATTTCTTCCTTCATGCTGTTGTTCTGACCCCCAAGACTGAAGAAGCTAGCAAACAGAAAAGATCTGCAGAAGAAATAGCAGTGGAGAAAGGGTGTAGTGACTCCAGAAGGAAGATACAGTCTTCAGGATACTTCTGAAGACAAACAGTGCTTTAGCATTTGGCTGCAGTGAGTGGAGATTTAACTTAGTGGTACAGAATTCATACCAGGATGCAAAAGATGAGGAGAGGCAGGGTGCACTGACACCATGTGGGTGCTGCTTCCCCAAAGCTCTGAGCAGGAGGCACAGTGGAATAGGCATATGGACAGCACACCTTGAAGCAGTCCAGTTGCTGTAAGGTAAGTTCCTTCTCTTCCTGCTTCTTTTTAGGCAGGCAGAGGTCATTTGTGTGCCATTTCCAGGAGGTGATCAGGTGAACAAAAGCCAACTGTTAAAAGCAGTATCTCTGTATGACCTGCAAACACACCCCAACTTGAAATGTTGTTTTTGAAGACTTGCTGCCTTTACAAAATTCATACTAAAGCACCTTCTACTTCTCAGTTTCCATTCTTATGTCGTTGGATTTGTTGTGCCAAATCAAAAGGAGCTTGCAGAACTAGCTCGAAAGAAAGGATTTAAAGGAACGTGGGAAGAGATCTGTAACAGCCCTGAGATGGAGAAAGAGGTGCTGAAGGTGCTCGCAGAGGCTGCCATGGCAGGTGAGTGGCTGCATAGGTACTGTTGACCTCATGGACCCCAATGCCTGTGAAACAGACCCTAAAAACGCTTCCTTGAGTTGGGTGTATTTCATACAGTATATAAGGTGCAATTTTCATTAAAAAATAAAACCAACAACAAAGCACGAGTTGGGTCAATCCTTTTGGTTAGTGTAACTTTTTTTTTTTCAACGTGGCAAAGAGCTGAGGAAAGACTGTAAGAACTGGGCAAACTCAAAAAGCTCAGTTCAGTTGCCTACATATAGAACCATAGAAGAGTTTGGGTTGTAAGAGACCTTTCAAGGTCCTCTAGTCCAACCCCCCTGCAGGGAGCAGGGACATCTGCAACTGGAGCAGGTTGCTCAGAGCCCTGTCCAGCCTCACCTGGAATGGTTCCAGGGATGGGGCATCAACCACCTCTCTGGGCAACCCAGGCCAAGGGATCACCACCCTCAGCATCAAAAATGTCTTATTAGCTATTTTGGTGCAGAATTAAACAGTGGCACAGAGATATTTCTGTTTGACCTTTCATCATCCTTTTTGCCTTGGTCTTGCTTTTGACCATTGCTGAGCACTAAGCTTTTCTCATAAAACTGTCAATTGACCACAGAGTGTTTTAAATGTTCACTGTGGATGTTAAATTTGTTTTTCATGTGCATTCTCTTCTACATTTTCTTGCAGTGAACATTTTCTACTGTCTGTTTTGCAGTTGCTCAGTGTCATGACATCCTTCTGGACCTCTTTGCAGTTTGTCCTCATCTTTTCTACCCTGGATAATTTTACACTTCCAACAATGTGTGCCTTGTTAATTTTTAGTGCTAAATTGAAAATAAAACCCCAAACTCAGTGATTTGACATTAAGGGGAGTAAAAGGTGTGGGAATACCTAGAAACAGGAGGTTGCACAGGATAATTATACATGTGTTGATTTTTTTTTTTTAATTTAACCTCAAAATAGTTGGTTTTTTTAATTTCTTTTTTTTTTATATTGCTTATCTGTTGACTACTTTGTTTTTCTGATGACTGAAACAACAGCAGAAGCTCCTGCAGATGCTGGAGTGTTTGTGCTAAAGGTGTAGCAGGCAGAGCACTGTTCTGGTTCAGCAAGGGGAACAGCCACTGTAGCATTGCCTTGAACAATTTAGGACAATCAGGGAGACTAAACCCACCAACCACCCTGTTTTTCCAGCTTAAGTAGTATGGATTTTAAGACTTTATCTCCAGAAGCTGTGTATCATAACACTGGTACAAAAGTGCACATTTTGAGGCTGTCACTTCCATCCACCGAGGCTTTTCTGGGGTCAGGGAGGAACACAGATGCTCACACAACTGGGGGTGGTTTCATTATTCCTGTGGCAACTGGAGAACAGTTACTGGTGGATCCTGTCACTCTGCTGGTGACCACGTGTCTTTCCCAATCCAACCACGGGGGCTGAGGAGCACTTCTGAGTTTCTGTCAAGTGCTTTTCTGCGTGAGAACACGGTTCCTCCTCCTGCGCTTAACTGTACGAACGGTTCATCTCATGGGGTTTGCATTTAAAATATTTCTTTTTGCAGCTAACCTGGAGAAGTTTGAAATACCAGTAAAAATTCGTTTGAGCCCTGATCCTTGGACCCCTGAGACTGGTCTAGTGACAGATGCTTTCAAACTGAAACGCAAGGAGCTTACGGCGTACTATCAAACGGACATTGAGCGGATGTACGGGAAACATGTAAAATAAGTCTTCTTTTGCTGCACCACTTTGCTGCAACGAGCTTGGATCAAATAGGAAATACTTGAATTTGCCTGTCTCAACACTTGAGATCAACACTCAGAGCCACCATTCCTCATCTGCAGCTTAAACTGTTCTTCCTGATAACGTCACCGTGATGACTGGCGAGTTGAGTAAAATGTTACGGCAGCAAACTCGTGTCTGTCTCCTTTTTTTTTTTTTCCAGTTTTCTCTGCTACCTTTTCAGTCTGCGGATTTTCCCGAGGCTTTTTGGGAAGCCGTGATTCTGAAGCCTCAAGTTTTTAAACATTTATAAATCCTGTATAATGTTTTATTTGTATCTTTAAAATTTGGATGTATATAGAGAGAACTTGGCTATATAAGAAATGGTTATACCGGGGGGGCCTTTTTTTACCTAATTATTTAAAGAGAAGAAGGTATTGATGTTGTGCTGTTCTGTACATTAAAAATGCTTGTAACGAGATCATTGTTGAACAGAGGACCAGGTTATTTGCTGCTGTGCTTTCCTCTTTTTTTTTTTTCCTGTGCAAATCCGAGGAGGAAAATGTTTGTCATTCCAGCTCGTGTGATTTACCTTCAATATGTGCCTAATGGTTACTTTTATTTGTACCTGAAAAGGAGAAGATGGTCCTGGCACAGCTCTGCAGGTACTCTTGCAGCTGTTAGTTAAAACTTGTTTAGTATGAAAGATGCTATTAACACAGCAGGCATTAAACCTAAGAATAATCTCTGAAAGACAAACTCCTTTTTCAAATAGCTTGACGACCATTTCATCCAGCAGTTGAACTGTGTAAAGCGAATAAGAATTCTCAGCCTGGATTTCAGTGGATGCTGGGTAAGTTTGCCAGCATCCTTTGAGCTGAGGGACTGCAACAACCTTTGTCTTGACTCATTAGGTCTGGATGTGACACCAGGTTTGCTCTCCCTGTGTTGGTGAGTCGTGCAAGTCCCCTGTCCTGCCCTAGCTGCAACCCAAATCATTCTGGGGGGATTTTTAAAGTCATGATGACAGTTACGTTCTCAGCTCACACAGTGCCTAGCTGCCCTTTGTGCCATTAAAAATCTCCCTCTCTGTTCTTTTGTTCAGCTTTTTGGGCTTTGCTTTCAAAAGGAGAGATCTGAAGCATTTGTCAGGCAGTTAAGCATGTTGCTTGGTTTGTCACACCCAGTTCTTACTTGGGGAGGGAGTCTATATTACTCTAGATACATGAATGTTTGAAGAACTCTGGAGGCTCTTTTCCTCTGTATTTTAGATTTGTTTCAGATGTGAATTTTATTCTCAGAATATTTCTAGAAAGATTTTTCTAATCAGGGTTACATGAGACTGTGAAAAGGTGTACACACCAGCCAGCTTTGGTGGAGCAGATATTAAAATGGCTTTAATTCAGAGATTATTCTCTTGTGTATCATTTACTCGTGGTAGTAAAATCAAGGTTGTGGTGCTCACATAGTGCCCTGCTGTGGTAGCTTATGGTGGCTCTGAACAGAAAGAGCTTTGCTTGTGGGAGGGAGTTGCTGCTGTTCTCTCTTGTGACAGGAGTTTTGGGGAGATTTCAATAACTCAAATTCTAATAAAAACAAAAACAAAAAACGAAACCCTGAACTACTCTTTCAGTTCCCACTTTCCATCGTTGATAGAAAGCATTTTCATAGGAGTTGGAAGTTACTGAGTAGGTTCCTGGCTGGTGAAACAGGAATTGTTGAGACACTGAGAAGGTTTGTGCTGTTTCATGCTATGGGACCATCTCTCCCACTCGCCCTGCCTTCCCCCTGCTGCTGTCTGACAAACTGTTATCATTTGATGAATTTTGGTGTAACCAGGAAATACAAGCAACAGAAAGAAGTCAGAACCACATTTAGGAGATGTGCTAGCCTTCAGGTATCTAGATGATAAATTAAAGCCTTCTGACAAATAGAGACTCGTGTTGGAAAACGACTGGAGAATCCAAGCGTGGAAATGGCCAAGTCTGTAGGGAAGTGTCACACCCTATGGTAGATGTTCCTAGGGCTTATGTATCTGTGCTCCATCTACAGGCTTTCAAACGGTCCACACTCAGCACAGGATATGCATCATTCAGATACCTTGGTTTTGGTGATTTTTAATGAAAATAAACTACCGGAGTACTATGTGTATCACTTGGTGCATTGTGTGGCAGATTTAAGAAAATGAATCTGCTTTGTGTTACTTCAGAAGAAATCTGAAGTTAGTATTTTCTTCTACTAAGGATTGAAGTCCCTTTTTTGGTAAATTGCATAAATGACACTTTTTGAATAATTTGGAAATGGTAGTTTTAATTTTTTTCTTCTAATCCAGTGACAGGATTGGGTTGCAGTCTAACTGTGCATCTGATTTTACAGTTCAGGGGTTTTATATTTGAAGTGGATGTTGTTACATATAGTTCCTACTTCTTTAGCCATCAGGTTCATTGTGGACATTTATTTCTTCTACAGAATGTGAAAATAAAGCAGCTCATTAATTGTTCTCAGTGCTGCAGGCAGAAATTCTACACTTCTAAAATACTTTTATGGGCTTAAAATGTGATGAGTACATTCTTTTTTAATTTATCACAAAAGACAGACTTGAGTGCTGGTAGATTCTCAGTACTTCCATGTCTCATTGAGATTGCCTGGCCCAAGGGTGCCCACACTTCTCATTAACCTCATTAATTTGGGCTAGAAGGGGATGGTGCCAGTTGCTGTTCAGAGGTGGAGCTTCCTTGGTCCAGCAGGCCTGGGGGATGTGGTGATGTTACCTGGTGTCTCCTGATTTTGTGGGTCTTCCCATGTCCAGTGTAACAAGGAGAGAGGTACCTGCTGGCATCTATCGTGTGTCCCAAAGGCTGTAAGTAAGGACAAGTGCACGGTTGGAGGTGATGGTCTCCAACACGTGGGGAATTCTGTGATGGAAGGAGCCCTAACTTAGAAACAGTCTTTCCAAGTTCAGTCTAAGAACAAGGGGCATTTGTAAATACAAACTTCCCAGGACTCTGGATCACCAGAAAATTGGAACATGCAGATTTTCATAACAAAGTAAGTAGTTTGTTAGAACAGAAAATGACTGACCAAGAGATTCCAAGGCTGCTCTGAATCTCCTTTAAATCCCTCCACTTACTTTAAAATATTTCAGGACTTCAGGCTCGATTTGATCTAGATGTCCTAAGTGTTCTTTGCAGAGAATAACGTTTCTGGAGTAGGTTTAGGAATGAAAAATAGATCTCAGGCAAGAGCTGGCAAGTTTCCTGGCACTGCTGCTGCAGTTGACACGAGCAGGGCCGTTCTTGGTGGGGACCTGTGTCTTGGCAGGAAGACATTTGGCTGAAATGAAAGGGAAAAACCAGTGTGCAACTGGAACGAAGGACGTACACCCTACATCCTTGTTTTATAGAGAGGGGCATGGGATGGAAAATGGGCATCAAAAACATCCTGGAAAGCTTGTGAGTTTCTGCAGGAATTGCTACAGGGCGACGTCTCCTTTGCAATAACCTTTATCCTGCTCCAATTCCCAAGCTGTTAGTTCCTCTGGACTAAAACTACACTCGGGCAATGCAATGCAGCATTTTTAATTGTAATTAATGTGATGTTTTAACTCCTTTGGACTCACTATACAAATGTGTACATCGCTTTCTTTACTGGTAAGAGGAACAATCCTGACCGGGCTGGAACGTTCATTGGGTGACCAGTTGTATATTATCATAATGGGTTATTTAATGTAAACTCATTTCCAATGTGATCTCGGTTGTTACTATGAACTGCCTGAACATTGTATATCCTAATTGAGTTATATTGTATGAATTATTTATTTGTAATTGGGTATCATGTTTCAAAAATAAAATTAATTTCACAAATTGGGCCCTGTATGTCAAGTTTGGGTTTTTTAAGTGGTATTTTATTTTTATCTATCTGAGCCTAGGTAATTTATGGTTGGAAAGCATTGGATTTAAATCCCATTTATTGATTGTGTGGCTGTTGAAGAAGGGTGGTGGATTAGGATAGTTCACAATGGCTGGTTTTGGTTGTTTTAACAGGGAAACCTGTTTGGTGGTGAGCACTGGTAGGTTTTCAAGAATAATTTCTGTATCAAAATGGGATGATAAATGTGTGATTTAGGGCAGCTCCACTGGGACATCTGGACGTGTGTATGTCCTCACACACAAATATGAGTAGGTGACCTGCAGCAGGGCAGGATTTAGGGCTGGAAGATTCTTTAGATTGTCCCTGCCTGGTGCAGAGGAGCTTCTGGAGGATGGTGGTTCCATGCCCAACCACTTTATGTCTCACTAAGGATGTTAGGAGCAGAATGTGCTGATGTTTCTGTTTTCATTTGAAGTCTTGATAGACTTGCTAAACATCTCCTGGAAAGCATCTCCCATGTTGTTACTCCTCCCTAGGTTCGGTGGTTGAGTACCTGATGATTTCCAGGAATGGGGGTGATGGGATGGGCTGTGGGCAGTGTGTTGCTGATGGGGAACTCCTCCCTGGGGCTGGCTGCACTCTGATGCCAAGCCCTGGGAGCTGCTGGGGGGTCTGGATGCCCTGATGTGGCTTTGCTCAAAACCAGTTGTGGTTCCAGGTGCAATTATGGTGTTTCCACTGAACACCCACAAAAGCTTCTGTGCCCTTGTACAACCCCACCCTGCACCCCAGTCTGCTGGGTTTGTGTTTGCTCCTGTTTGTATTGATTACATGTTTTACAGCAATATTCCTAATCTTTTCATGAATAGATCAAGTTTAGGACTTTATCCACAGTTTTTCCCAGTGGTGCAAAGGGATTCTTGCTTTTAAAGATCTTTTCCCTTTACTTCTACCAGCTTTAATCTCTGCCAGTAACTGCATCATACCACACACTGATCAGCCCTTCCGTGTCTGTTTTTTTCCATAACTGATATTTTCTCTTTGCTAATAGTTTTACAGTTATTGTTTTGGATTAATTACAAATTAATCCAAATTACAAAATTAATTACAAATTCATTTTGGGTGACAAGAGACAGAGATACACTGGGTTGCTGCAAAGGAGGAGTGATGCTCTCTCTAAATCTTGATTGGCAGAGATTACTCAATAGGATTTTTTTTCTTAAATCTTGTTGGGGAGGGGAATCAAATTTTGCATCATCCTGACACTTTTTGTTTTGCATTAATCTAAATATTTCATAGTTATTAAACAAGGCAGCAAATTGCCATGTGATGGCTTGTCTCTTTTTTCCCCTGTCCTAGGCCAGTCCCCCCAGGGCTGTCTGGCTGGGACAGGGAGCAAGGCCACTGGTGTGGGACCAGTCTGCCACCCCCATGCCCTGCTCAGGCTTTTCCACTCCACTTTGGTGTCATCCGTGTAAATTTGGG